TGTGTTTCACTGGTTTAAAGACTTTAGAGAAGAGAAGGAAGGTGCCGAGAATGAGCCGCGTTCTGGTAGACCGTCAACAAACGTAATCGAATAAGTCCGACGGATTCTTGCGGATGGTCGGCGGCTATCTTTGTGAATGATAGTAGAAAAGTTGAAAATAAGCAAGGACAGTGTAAGCAGTATTGTTCACGAACATTTGCAAAGTGGAATATTTGTGCCCAGTTTGTATCGCACACACTGACCGACGAGTACACAGTGGAATTTCCTCCACGACAGCATCTGTCCGTACACTGCGATCCGTATGATACTTTCTCGCTCAACGCAAGGTAACGGTTCTTCAACACCCTCCTTATTCCCCAGATTTGCCGCCGGCAGACTTCATTTTGTTTCCCCGCCTTAAATTTACCCTGGTAGGCTATGCTTCACTGACGTTTCGGATATCCAACAAAGCGTGACCAAGTGTTTCGAGCGATTCCACACGAAACGTTTGCTGACAGTTCTCAACAGCATTGCAACCGGTGTCAGAAGTGTGTTGTAGGTTATGGTGATTACTTTGAAGGCGAGTAGAGATCTTTTTTGAAACTCCTGTTTCTTCTTTTCTGAGACCATCCACCGAACATTTCAGAGGCATGTTGTACATATGCCAGTTGTCTGAGGTCGGTATGCCCCATGCTGAGGCCGATGTTGCATTCATGATGCTTCTTCACCGCAATTGGACTAAACCTACTTACACTTAAACCAGGTCTTTTTAAGCTGGTTAGATTTCATTCCACTTTATCTGGTTTGTTCTGCTTACCTGGATAATCTTCTATTAACTGGCCACGTTTCTTACGGTAATTGCGCTTATCTTCGTTGACTTTATCGCGTTTGTGACATTTTTGAATAACTTGTGTACATTTTGTGCTTATTGCGGATTCGTTGCTAACCAACTTACCTCATATGTTAATTTAGCGAAGAGTTATGTCTGCATAACCGTATGCTTCAACAGAAATATTTTATTTGGTCATGTTATTTCATATGCTTGGCTGTTGTTTGACATCCCGATGTGGCTGCGCTTGATGTCAATGTTGACAAGGTGTCTACCTGTCTATTACCCACTACCTCGTCCATACTGTCTATAGGAGATAGTTGGTCTTTGCAGGAGGGGACGGGATGCACGGTCCTTGTGGTCGTGCTAGGCTCGAAAAGTGGTTTCATGCACTCAGTGTGGAACGTGCTAAGGCTCAGCCACCGCCTTGTGTGCGCTTGAATCCCCAAATACGGTGTGCTTGTGTTTCTCCGTGAAGCAGTATGGACCGACTCCATTGATGTAACATGGCTCCCATTCACCTGCCTCCTGGTCTTATTCCTTCGGGTTTACACTGGATATGGGGTGTGTGGTTGGAGCTGGGGGTGGTGCAGCGCAAGCCACCCATGGTCCCTCTATAAGCGCAGGCGTCCTGTGACTGGCCTCATGGAGGCCGTAGTGACAGGCAAATCCGGAAACAGATGCCACCAACCATGTCTGAGGTCGGTAACTTCCGTGTGAAAATACTGACAGACTTACTCCGACAGTCTCTGCTGCTTTGCACGCAAAACGTTGAACTCCGTTTCCAACATTTCTTACTGCCAAATCAATGGATTAGCTATGGGAAGTCTGCTAGGCCCGTACTGGCCGATTTTTCATGCTAATGCTAGAAAAGAGTCTAAGCGTGGAGATCTCACAACTTCTTACTACAAACTTTATGTCAATGGCATTATTTTGTTCCGTTGTTTGGGACTGCCAATAGGGCGCTTGCTGCACCAGCTGAACCCATATTCTGCTGGCGTCCTTTATGAAGGACTCGTCCTAAAATGTGATTTAAGCATTAGGTTAACTAAAGCAAACATAGATAGGGTAACATGACTTCAAAATAATATGAATTAGTCTTTTTCCTGAAAGTCCAGTCACAAAAATTACAAATAATATGTTACTTCAATATCTTAAATCATATTTTAAAAATTATCTCTGAAAAGTGCCAGAAGGAAATTGGTTAGTAGCGTCTATGTCAATTAAACATTTACCCATGAATTCAAGATGGATGACCGCCGGCCGTATCTGGACATTCTCATCGGTCGAAGGGATACCGAGCTCGTTAAACGGTCTGTCTTCTGGAAGTCAACATGGTCTGGTCAATATTTGCCCCTTATCACTTTCACACCGTTGAGTCACAAGCGTGCACTGGTGAAAACCTTGTTTACTCGTGCCAGGCATATTTGTGTGAGCGATTTCTTGGCTGTGGAAATGGAGACTATTACCGGAACACTTACGGAAAACAGTTACCCCAAACGATTCATCAAGGCATAACCTGGTCGGTCGGCTGAAAGAAACGGTGTTGACAGCACCTAAGAATAAGATATACTTCGAGCTCCTATTTGAGTTTAACGCCGCCACAACGAGGACAACCAAGCGCTTACTCTCTGTCATTCAGAGAATCTACTGCGCTACAAATGCTGTAGTGTTCAATAAAACTCGGGAACTGTCCCTAAGAAAATAAGTAAGGGAATAAGAACCCATATGCGCCAAATCACACTGTGTTTACCATTTTGTGTGTCAGTTACGTAAGCCGAACCGATAGGGTTTTGCATTCCAGTGTGAACGAGCACCTGCCCAACTCAGTCAATCAACGTGCTGTCAACCAAACATTGCCCAATATTCCGTGCTCACGCAAGCCGTCAGAGTTATCAATAGGCAGGCATATTTTCGTGACTTGTCATCGGACTGATTCCAGCTCCTCGTTTCGGATATTGTCACGTCATCCTAATCCACGCTTCTTGCGGTTCACCGGAGCCGTGGCGATAAACCAGCTAAAACTTGCCCTATGTTTGCGAAGACTATCAATTGTTGACCTTCGGTTGCCATCATCGCCGTTCACCTCACTACATTTAATTGGTTTGGTAAAACCTCTTGAACGGTATATAACTAATTTTTGTTATTGTATTGGTGCTGATGAGAATGCGAAATGCGCGCATCTACCAGTGTTCGTCTTCTCAGTGTGTTATTCAAACTACTGAAGGGAACTAACTGTTTTAACTGTTTAGTCATAGGATTTTAGCGTTTTTGGTCCTATTTCGGTGGGTTGCACAGATTTACTTTTTACTTGCTTCTATAATACATTATTCAGTATTCATTTTGTGGTCTGGATCGATGAGAAGATAGGCACGCCCTGTCGAGGCTTTGGAAAATCGATGTTCATTGATCCACGATACCTACGCATTATCGCTCGTAGGTGGCGTGATGGTTGAGCGTGGACTGCTGAAGTACGCTTGTCTATGTCCTGCAACGAACGCTCCTGTTTAGCATCGGTTCATCTCTGACTTGCATCCTCTTAGTTTTCTCAGCGCCGTACTTCGGATAGCCATCGACCAATCTATTCGGTCTGTGTTTATAAAATTTTAGGGCAGCCAATCGTCTATTCGGCGAAAATATATGACTAACGTTTTTAAAAACCTGGGCTGATGCATGCTTCCCGGACGCAACCCTCAGGGCAACTCATGTCAGTGGGTAGAGACTCAACTCGTGCGAAACACAAGGCTATCTCATCGAGCCGGCAGTATTGCGGCCTATTTGACGCTGCTAGGCATAGGCTGGCTTTTACTTTATCATTTGCAGTCGTTATTTAGCTGGTTTGTAAAAAGTTAGTGCACTTTCTGTTGTCTTTGAAATACACCCAGTGTGTTTAGATTGCGACGCGCAGTCTTCATCTGGACCTCGGTTTACTCGGTCCATATGATCACTAGGACCTTATTTGAAGTGGAGAGGTTTGGGTGTTGTTCCACCTATCACTAACACCCTACACTCGGTTTCGTGATCGTTTGGACTCATAGAGTATAGATATCCTGAGCTGAAATTGGAATTTGGGGCCTAATGGTTATTGGTTGACACAGATGTCATCAGTCCACTAAGATCTGTAAGCAACACTTCACACAGCGTTTTCTTTTTTTTATCCGTTCAACGTGGCCCTTATTTGCAGGATGTCCTATGTGATGATGAAGCTAACCGCGGGTTACTGAAACACTGGCGTCCTATCCTATAAATAGTAGCTGTGTATCGACTACGAATGTCATAATTTTCATGCCATGTCATAATTTGAAGCGCCGATATGGTTTAAAATAACGCTTACTTTGCAGCTACATCTAGTTTCACGATCTGAGATATTTTCTGATTGGTCATTCTGATGCTGGATTATCGTTGAGGTACTTTCAGTTCGCAGAATCGGACATGGTTCTTTACTTGTTACATCCGATTGCGTCGATTATGTGTTACATGCTTACTGGACAAACGCCATTCCACTTATTATAAACTGGTCAGCATCACATGGCCTCCATCGCATGTGTTGCCGTCAGATTTGGTGCGTCCAGCCTGGTGCACACGGTTCGCGAATATTGTGGGTCGATTCTTGAGTTTGTCCGTGCGCCTTCGCTGTTAGTGCCGATTGGATATGTTTGTCCAGCCGCTGATTTCCTTAGCCTTTTGCTCAGGTCTAACCTCTCAGCAGCCTTCAACGACGAACGAGATCCGCGAGCGGAAATTACACAACTAAACATACTACTCATTCTGTTTTAATTTTATTTATTTCCCGTAACCTAAAGGTAACAAGCTTGTCTTGCACTCTAGCGGCTCGGGTTCAAGTCTGCGTAGGGGCAGGGGGACCCTCGCAGTATCCTAGCCCACGTGCAACCAGTGGTGCTTGCGCGGCAGCGAAGCCTCGGTACTGCGTACTGCCGTACTGTTGATACCATTTTCTATCCATCTCCCCAGTGAACTCTCCCTTGTCTTCTCATCCAATCTAATCTTTGCCGATGATTGGTCTCCCAGACGGTATGAGAACTACTAATATGTTTTGTGGGAATTACTAAATAGGGTGAAACTGCTGTCATGCTCTCATTTTTTCTATGTTCCTTTTAAATTTTGTTCTTTTATGTGCTTTTACATTACGCATTTTCCGCACCATAACCTGTGTCTTAATCTCTTCCGGTAGTATCTGCTTTCTGTTCGACATCTGCTCCCTGTGAAAGAATACGAGGAGATTGCTCGAGAAGCGGATGCGTTCTGCAAGGGTCCTGGCCGCAAATTGCAGTTTTTCCTCCATCTCAAAACCTGGTTCACAAGCAATTACGTAAGTGGTGCACGCTAACATTCATACCCCAAACATCTTTAAATGATGTGACTTTAAGTGAGATGAGTGCATTTCGCCTATTTATCAACGAAACTAACTTGCCTGTCACTTTTTGACCATCTCTACCTGTTGGAATGTTCCGCTCTCGAAGTTACTTGTTTCTCTAATCTCGGCAGAACTTGCTCATTGATCGATCACATACACCACATGGATATTTCTTTCGTTTACCTATTCTGTCTTCAGCAACAGTCATTGCATTGGTTATTATTCATAATCCGAGTCTTCAATGTAAGAATATGGGTGCAGCATCCTCTAATTTCTTGTTGCTTCACCATCAGTCAACCGCGACTTCTGTATTGGCCTCAGTCGAGTCGAACAAACGGCGTGTAATGCTGCCTTGGACTTAAGAGGACAGTACCCAATGCTAGACATTGCTTTGGCTTTTGGGTGTGTGACAACTGCACTAACCTACCCTCCTTATGGCGTTGTTGCCTCACTTTACGTACATACACCACGCAAGTTTCTGCATAGGTATACACGCTGTTTCAGCCGACTTCCATGCTGAAATTCCTCAAAAGAAGCACCACTGGTGTTGTCACCACCCCTATCCTGTTCCTAGAGTTGCACACATGTTGGACTAATTGGTTCTCATCTTTGGGTACGCGATGGTTCGATAGCTTTCCCCCATTCGGCATTTCACTTCCACTGTGATCAATGATTCATTGAGCATGACAGTGATAGAAGGTGATAACTTACGAGTGGTTATCCAACTTTCTACTTTAGCCATGGCTCAACCTATCACTGCTGCAGGGTTCCATTTACACACCCTTCCGCTAGGATCGCATTATCATCATCATCATCATACACGTTAGCTAGAGGTGGAGAACACCTCAGCTACTGTGCCGCAATACACAGAAAAAAGGAGAAAGAAATGCAACTGGTGCAAGCCGGCTGAGCTACCGGTAACGGATGGGCATCGTTCCGGTAAGCTACCAGCCGGCTACTGTGCATCAAAAAATTACTATGCAAAATTATGTAAGGCTAAATAATGAGATCGTGGTTGGAAGGGGAAGCTAAGAGAGATGGTGTGGGACAAAGAAACTCACAGCACGAACGCCACTGAGGTCGGCTCCTTGCCATATCAGCAAGTGTGTCCAACCAAACGCGTTCATCGTCTTTCGGACCCCAACCAGGGATTCGAGACGCTCCAACCGAGGCCAGCTCAGAAGTGAGGGCCTTCATTCCTCTCGACCAAGTCATCGCTTGGCCACCCCTCCTCTTCTTCCATCCACACCCCCGGCGTGCAAACAACGCATGTCGCGGGAGTCGGTGGGCTGGCATGCGTAACACGTGGCCGAGCCATCGGAGCCTGGTAGGTGAAATGACGGTGCTGAGCGGTTCACTTCCTTTTCCTGTGCCGTAAACAAGGCGTCGAACACGCTCGTTGCTCACGCGGTGTTCCCACCAGACGTGAGCTCAATTACGAAGGCACCGGTGGTCGAACGTAACTAGCCTCTTCATGTCTGCTGATCTAGGGAGCCAGGTTACCCAACCGTACAGTAGGGTCGAACGTACTGCTGCATTGTACACTCTACCCTTCAGGGCAAGAGTGATGTCGCGCCGGCGCCATAAGTGGCAAAAGTTAGCAAAATCGCCCCGAGCTTTTGCTATACGGTTCGTGATCTTATCCTCAATCCCATGGGCGCTGATACAACCACCCAGGTAGTTGAATTTTTGAACGACTTCTAGCTGATCCCCACTAAGAGTCAGCGCAGGAGGCGGTCCAGACCAATCTTGGAGGAACACTTTGCACTTCGAGGGTGCGATGCAAAGCCCGAAGTGACGGACAGCTAGTGCTAATCTTTTCAGTGCCGCTTGACACGTTTGTGATCTGTCACAGATTAGGGCAATATCATCAGCATACTCCAAGTCAAGAAGTCGTTTTCCTGGGAGCAGATCCACACCTTCAAAGTCGTGTGCTATGAACGCGATTTCCATGACTTCGTCAATATCGAAGTTGAAGAGGAAAGGTGACAGCGGGCATCCTTGTCTCACGCCGCTGGAGATATTAAAGGGCGACGACAACTTGCCGTAAGCCCTCACTCTGCCCGAGCTACGCGCATATAATGCTCGGATAATATTCACGTATTTCTCAGGTACACCTTTCTTGAGTAGACAGTCCCAAAGTGCATGTCTATCCACCAAATCGAATGCACCTTTGATATCGAGGAACACGACGACGGTGGGCCGCCAATATATGTGACGGTGCTCTAACAACTGACGCAAGGTAAAGATGTGGTCAATGCAGCCACTACCTCGACGAAATCCAGCTTGCTCTTCACGAATCTGGCTTTCACGAGTGCCAGTCAGTCTGTGAAGGATGACAGATGCAAGCAATTTGGAGGCGATGGAGATCAGACTGATTCTTATATGGTTGCCGCCTTCCGATTGTGAGCCTCCCTTGAAAATCGGGACTATGACGTAGCGGCTCCAATGGGTTGGGACAGTTTCCTGCTCCCACAGTTTGACTAGTAACCCGTGTAAATCATCCACAAGAGCAGGGCTCCCGAGTTTAGAAAGGGCTGGAGGTAGATCCTCAGGTCCCGCGGCTTTATTTAACTTCAACAGTGCGATCTCACGTTCGACTTCTGAGCGAGTGGGTGGATCCAAAGGGACAGCCCAGGGAGCGGGGCGATCAGTGGCCGGCGAGTAATCTAACAATTCCGACCGATTAAATTGCCTTTCAAAGTGCTCAGCCCAACGCTCTAAGCGTTTTGATAAGTTGTGGATAGGCTGTCCACTCTCGTCATGTATAGTTTCATTAACACCAGGTCTCCTGCTGCCCGTTTCCCGTATCAGACGTAATAACCAAGGGCAGCAGCCATTTCCATCTCTGATGCACGATGAGACTATCAGCATTTGCGGTCTCTCTTCAGGCTAGCACTTAGTTTTGCCCGGAGCTCTTTGCGAGTTTCATTGTGTTCGCTTCCAGCCGGAATATGCCGGCGAGCATCTATAAGTTCCAGAGACTGTGAAGAGAGCCAATGTCCATTTTGGTGATTAGACATACCACATGAGGGTTTTCCTGCTGCTAGTAAGATCTGGTGAATATGAGACCAGTGAGCTTCAATTGCATCCAGTGAGCGTTTATCCAACTCGCATGACAGCGTACTTTGATAAGCATTCAAAACAGCTGGCTTCGCCAGTTGGCTGGTGTCAATGCGCTCGCAACGTCATCGTGGGCGTCCGCCAAAACGCATCCCCAGGTCAGCACATACAAGTGCATGGTCTGTGTCCACACCTGTGCTCCAAATCGAGCGACAGTCCTGGTGGACAGCCTACAACATGGAGAAGCCGCATGAAAAAGTTGACGAAACAATTGGCCTCGGCCGGTTGTTGTCGACTACCTGGTTGGGGTCCGAGAGACGAGGATACTTGCTGGTTGAAAACCTTGGAAGTTATGGCTCAAGATCGATGTCAATGGCGGACGTGTGCATCAGTGTGTTGCGGTGTCCCTTCCTCCTCCCCCTAAAAACGAACAAACTGAAAAAAATTTCAAAAACTGTGAGTGGTAAACTTGACAAAAAAAGCATTTCTTGTTGCTCTTTTCTTATTATTCATATTGTTTTCCTATTCAGCCATGATTCCGATGGCACAATATCTGTACCACAGATTGTGTATAATATATATATATATATATATATATATACGCAGCCTCTCCCGCGGTAACTGATAGCAATGTGATCGATCTGCGTCCATAGCTGGTTCGAGGCTGGTGGGCGCCAAGTCACTCTCCGATGGGTGTTGTGTCGAAATTAGTGCTCGCAAGAAATAAACGAGCATCTTCACACAAATGAAGTAACCGCTCATCGTTATCATTACGGGAGCCTATACCATGTTGTCCGCCCAGATGCAGCTCATCAGTGGATAATTTTCCAACTTGAGCGTTCAGATCCCCGGCCAGCACTACAGTGTCCGAGCTTCTTCTGTGGCGAAGGAGCTCGTTCAGTTGACGATAGAAGTCGTCTTTTACCGAGTCATCGCTGCAGTTTGTGGGTGCGTAGGTAGCGATAACGAATAGACACCTGTTAGTCCCACGCGACTTCGAAGTTTTGAACGAGCCAGCCAATCGGACCGCACACTTCCGGCTACTGATTGGAATCCAATCAACCAGAGTAGCTTCAGCTCGGGGACTCAGGGCAATACCAACACCGGCTTGGCTGGTGCTCGAAGCTGCATCGTCACCGGATAGGCGCAATGAGAAAGTGCTGCTAGTGTCACCTGAAGGGGTTCGCAGAGTGAGTACAGAGCTCGAGTCTTGCAGGCGGGTCTTTGATAAGCAGAAGATATCGATGGAGAGGGTCTCTAATGTTCGGGCAAGTGCGAACATTGAGGCATGCCAATCTGAAGGAGGATCGAGGGCTTCAAATGGAAGCCGATGAACTGGAATGGGCCGCTTGCTTGGAGATGGGCCTGTTGACAGGGCAGGAATGACGCTCCGCGTTCACATGTGAGTTGAAACTAAAAGACAAGCGACTATTGAAGCAAGATGGGAGAGGGCCGAGAATCGGGGGGTTGAAAACTGGGGGGATAAAAGTGAAGCTGGAACGGGAAGATAAGCGTGGAAAAGCGCAAGAGGAGGAATAAGAAGACTGGAAGGCTTGAGCAGTAGCATCCAAACCCTTATCTATCCTGCCCGATGCAGCAGATAGGACACCGTTGATTATCCTCTGCGGTGGCCAGAGCATCAGCAATTTGTTTTAAGTGGGATTCATGGTATTGCGTAGGCAGGATACTGTCTGGTTGCCCAGGCCTAGACAGGAGAACGATTAGGGTTCTCAACCAAAGCCTTTGGTTCAAAAACCTGTCCGCAAGGCAGCGGGTTTGGCGTTGGTCTACAAAGAGTCCGTTTTAAGGAATAGGAGCCACCCTCATTCCAACCCCCAACCTGGAGGACCAGGAGGCTGAGTTTGTCTGGCCTCTAACCATTGACCAATCTGGTATGAGTGACTCTGAATGTGCAAAAGCACCACCCAGTATAGCTCAATGGATCACAGAGGCACACAAACCATCGCACCACGGTAAGGTCCAGCCTTATTGCGATGGCATTTGGTTGCAGCTGAGCCAAAATACCAAACTGAGAGGCCATCAGCTCAAACTAGCTATGCACTACATTCGACTTGATTATCGACGAAACGGCTTCCCCCTCAGTGCGTCCCGTGCCTGAAATGCCCTTCCGGCTCACGTTATCCTTGCCCCTACATTAACGTATTTTAAAAAAACGCATACTGCTGACTGATCTTGAAACATCCATCTTGCCTTTCCACTTGTATTGGGTAGGTGTTCAAGTCAGCGACAGTCCGCAGTACACTTGCTGGTTGTATTAAGGCTTCATTACCAAGCAACCGCAAACGAGCACTGAGGTGTTATTTGCTCAGTTGTGTTCACTTATGCAGTGTTGCAATTGTCGTATATGGGTCCTGTCGTTGATTTTACGGTATCTGCTTAAATCATCCCAGATATTGCGCGTTCGTGAAGTTTTTCTTCCGCTGGAAGCGCTCTTTTGCCCTCCGGATCATGTTGTGATCAATCATCCCTCTCGAATACGATGTGTGCGGCGTTTGCGCACAGTGTGCTCCATCGTCATCTTTAGATTATGGCTTACTGGCTTCCAGGGATCTTTCGTTTCTTGAACTCAGAAGCGGAAACTTATTTCTCCCTCCTGATTCCTCGTTATTTCAAGCGCACATTTTCTACTCTGTTCTGCCGTTCGTTAGAGCTGCTATAATTCCTTGATCCGTGTTGTACTGTAAACATATATGGTCGCCTTAACTAGTACCAACTTCTGTACGAGCCTTTCAAGTTCCACCGTTCACTAGCCACCATACATTGACCGTTGTCACTGAACTTTTTAATCATTTAGGAAGGCGCGATTTTTTGCCCAGGCGTTTGATAGGTTCAATGCGCTATTCGATTTCCCTCTTGGTTTGTTGCGTTCTTCCTCTGACCATGAGTGAAGACTGCTAACACATGATTTTGCTCTGAATCCACAGCTTATGCACCAGATTAAGGCAGTTTGCCTGGTGCGCCTCACGTTGCGCATTTTTGGATGCGAATACAAAATACGAGGATGTAGATTCAAATTTACTCCCAGTCTGGGATGGTTGGCTAAATATTCCACCGATTGCAACAACGGTTACTCCTAGCGAGGAAACAGTGTATGCGTACTTATTTTACTGGGCGCTCTTTTTTCCTAGCTGAAGTACCGTTCTATTCTCTGGTGGAATGAGTGACTCCGTCAAGTGCACACGCTACATATGGGAATGGATGTCCAACGGACTGTAGTCAAGTTGCTGCACTAAATGCACTTAACTTTAATCATGCCACCTGAGAAGGAGAAGTCCGAATCTATCTCAGATTTCGGCTGCTTAAGACCCTTTATTACACTTCATCTCAGCATCTAACCATGAGCTACAGGCTACATGATCTATAATTGCACTGGTCTTTCGTTGAAAACAACTTTTAATGCCTTACGTCGCTTGATCGAAGTGGCACGCGCTTATTTTATCAGACATTCTAACCTATAGTCGCTGGTTTCCATTTTCATTGTATACAGAATAACATGTCAAACACAGGGGTGGCGTAACATTTAGTTGCTTGACAAGAAAAGATGAGGCAATTAGATGTCAGCAACATGTAAGTACGTCATACTGACACCTTGTGGTAGCGCAACCGCCTACGGATGTACTCGAGCTGGAACCCTGTAGGAGCGTGCTATGCCTTGCAGGAGCAGCTAATGGAAAATTGGACAGGAATGGTCAGCCAAGCGCCTAAACCACTGCGCCACAAATCTCGGTTAACCTAACTGCGGAAATGTATGGTAATTTGAACCTGGGAGTTCCCGAGAATGAGTCCATCACGATCGTCTTAACAAGTGTCTCATATTATGGATATATCTGGGTGTTGCTCTTCCCAACACTGGCACACCACGACCGCGGTTTCGTCTTGGTTTAGACTCGTCAGGTGAAGATAGCCTGAGCGGGAGTGGAACTCATATTATATTATTATTATGTTATTGTTATTATCATTATTTTATATTATTCTATATTATTATTGTTGTTGTATTTTCCTGCTCATCTGCCTTGTGGTTCATATCTTCCGGTTTATGAGTTCTCTTCAACTAAACTATTCGTTTGGATATTTCTCTTCATGCTTAACGCTGCGTGAGTTATTAGCGCTCGATGCAGCTAAATTGGTTTATTTGGTACCAAACCGGACAGCTTTCTCAGCGTTTGATCCATTGTGGAAGCCCAAATTGATTCCTAGCTTGTGCTCCTCCCCCACTGTGTCAATGCCTATTTTCACCCATCGATTCTGTTTACTCTCCACATGCTGAGGCTGTCGCATTAAGTATTAAAAAAACAAACACTCGTGAGCCTAAGGCTACCCTGGAGGTAGGAGTGCACTTCCGTTATTCACCCTGCACCTCAATCTTGTCTGGTTGCACCTACTGTTACCTATATCTATGCATACCAGTTATTGTCTTTGATACTATTGACGAAAAAGGAAGGTTGGGTTTTCATTAATCAACTGTCAAACGTCCCGCGTAACAGATTGGCGCATGTTTCAGTACCCAACGCTGCTGCCATATCCGGTTCATTTCTCCGCACTCACCAGCCCACCCTGATCGGGTTCTGAGCTACCTCCTTTTCTACCCTGTCTGTTCAGTCGACTGGAGCATTTTCATTCCAACACCACTGTGACGATCATCCGTCATCTGATTGCAACGCCTTGCCATTGCTGTCGGCGGGACAGTTGCCATGGTGTGACATACTGGCACTGGCACCATCACAATGCGCTTTTGATATTTCCGGCTTTTGATCTTGCTCATAATTGTCAATGTTCCCTCGATGACCGAAGCAGTTATGACGCCCGCTCGAGTCAACACTCAATATTCGTGTAGCTATGGTATCCAAGTGGCTTTACCCTCTTGTTCAATAATAGTATATGCCCCGCTCTCCGGTTGCTGCTAGATGGTTAGCAATTACACAACATCGGAATGTGCCACTCCACTCCCCAGTTGTCAAACCACTAGAAATTATATGAGAAGGGCGAATGGATCAAGATTCACTCACAAACATTATAGACCCAAACCGACCAAACATACTTTACTTGGAAAGCTACAACTCTCCTCGCACACAGACCTCGGATCTTTGAGTGTTGTTTCGTCAGTGGCGCACAATTTCTGCGGTCAGATGCTTTCAGCGACTTCATCTGGTTTTCGGGTGTTTGCTTTTATTCGAGTCGAGCTGCTGGCCCATAGCGTTAAGGGCCACGAGCCTGCCTTGTAATTCGAGGGCGCGGGTTCGAGCCTATGTGGGGACTGGGTTACCCTCATAGTATCTTTACAGCCCATGTGCGACTAATGGTGGTGATTTCGCGGCAGCGAAGCGTCGGTATTGCGTACCGGTGTACTGCTAATGCCTTCTTATTCGAGTTAGGTTGGCCGTAGCCTCAACATACTGGGTGGATGTGCATTCAACCTCTGTCACCATCACTCATGGGAATTGGCTTAGCGTCGAGCTAATGTGTGCCTTGTGGGAGTTACATGTCAGCAGTTACTCCTTGTGGGACATCTACCCCAGTCATAGTTAGGTGAAAAGCCCCGTAACATGTTCCTACGTAGCATTTCGCTTATTGGAACTTCTCAGTGGTCCGTCTTCTCCAGGAAAATAACCTTTTGTCCTTCTTCAAGTTCATATAGACAATCTACTGTCGCCTTCAAGGGCTGAAGTCCTTAACTTATTGGGGATAGTACCTGTGCCCTCCTCAGTTGCACATTCCTTGAGTCATCCCATTTGCTCCACACATTATCTGAGATCCTTCGCTCGCTACCTTTATCCACCCTGTTCTCAACTTTCGTGGACAGCGGCGCGCTTACTTCTTATTGCCGATTTTGTATACTTCGCTGCACTAAAAACAGTCAACGATTATTTCAGATAATTCCCATCTTTCGGCCACATAGTCTTCCATTGCACTGTTTTTCCATTCCTTTTTTCTGCTTTGGTTGTTACTAATCACCTTAGTTATGTCCACATCCAACCTACTCGACTCAGCTTTCATTTGTCTCTCATTCACTTTCGGCTCTACTTGGGCACATCTCCAATCGTATTGGCAGGTCACTGATTGGTGGGAGGATTACGTCTATTTGGCCAACCGGGATCCGCTTATGTCGAATAGTAACTTTTATGGTTTAGAATGGAAATTGACTCGACCGATTCAGCCCACCCAAGAAGCTCGTGCTGCAATGCTCACCTACTTGTTGTTAGAAGTCCGACGGAAGTTGGCACGAGAAGAGGTGAGAGTACTTCACTCAGCTTTAATCATTTGAGATGCAATCTGGTTTTCTCATGCATTCACACCGAGTACTCTTTGCCGCACTACGATCTCAACTAACTGTTTATATACAGCGTGTTGGTAACGGTTATTGTTTCTTACCGATTTCATGATCACAGACAGCAGTTAGTGTTCAAGCCATCGACCGTGAGCTGAACAGTCGTTGCGACGCACACCGCATCAACTGACTTTAGACTACTCTAAGATTGGATTTTCGATGTTTACTAAAATCGATTTGTCTTTATCGTAGCATTTTATAAAAATATGATTTAGATCTTGAGCTAAAAGTTTACAGGACTGGTACTTTGTCGATGTCGTCATTGTGGAATAGTTTTTGTGCTTCTTTCTGACTGAACCACTGTTGGTTTTTCGGGATCCATGCCTATCCGCTTCGATAGCAAGATGATATGCTTCTAAGCCATCCTATCCTAGCTGTCTGTGCGACGATAGTGGACGGCCAATCCACGGTTTGTCAACACGCTTAGAGCTTTGAGCGGAACACTGATAAGCAGTTTAATCAGCGATAGCTACCAGCCTCCTTCTCGGTAATTGATAGTACTTCTCTCTGGGCCTTCCTGGATCGGACCTCACGCGCAGAATTCGAACGTGAGGTCAAATTGTTAAAACTGAATAGCGCGCCGGAGCAAATAGACTTCCTTCAGTTTTCTGCTCAACTCTAAGGGACCTGCTCTTATTTTTTATTTACATAACTTACTGGTGAAGCTGTGGGAGCAGGCGACTGTCCCAACCGACCGGAGACCCTCCGTTATTGCGCCGACCTTCAATGGAAGCTCGCCTTCGGAATGCGGCAACCCTCGCTGAATTAGTCTGATCTCAATCACCTCTAAGTCACTGGCTTCTGCCATCCTCCATAGACTGACTGGCACCGGTGAAAGTCAGATTTGTGCAGAACAAGCCAGGTTTCGTTGAAGTCGTAGCAGTGTTGATTACATCTTCACAGCATGTCAGTTGTTAAAACACCGTCATATTTATTGTCGACCCACGTGTAGTCGTGCCTTCGATTCGGTGGATCGATGTTCCCCTTGGGACTGTCTGCTTAAGAAAGGTATGCCCAATAAATATGTAAACATAGGTACTGTACGTGCATAGTTCGGGTGTAGTGTGGATTTATGGCAAACTCTCGCCGCCCTTAACTCTCTCCAGCTTTGTGGGACAATGTCGTCCGCTGTGATTAGTACTTTTTGACCGCCATTGACGAATTCATTGAAACAGCGTTCACTGGACACGACCTGCAATGTGTGAAGCTGATGCCTGATGGTGACTTCTTGATCTGGAGTATGTCGACAACATTGCCCTGGGAGATCCGACCAAATACTGGGAGCTCAGACTGGGTGTTCACTTAGGTGGGTAGTTAATTTGCTAATGTTTCGTCACTAGTCGTGATGACATCCTCAGTTTGTGGGAGTAAGCAGTTTCGTAGCAGAAGCTGGTGGAAAGTAAATCCGAGCATAGATTCATCACCTTTAACTTGTTTTGATTGGTTACTAGTTTTCCTCCTTATCTGTGCTTGGGCAATCGCCGTAGGCTGCCGAAATGTTACGAGTTGGGTAAGCTGCTCGAACTTGGATTGGTGCCGGAGGCGTACAGACAGCATTCCGGTTCACGTCGAGTGTCCTGCGGAGTGTTCACTTTCGAGCTGTAGCTAAGAATCCGTCTGAGCTGTTTCTGTTTCAGCGGTTGTTGCACGGGATCGATGTCGATGCGTATGTTGATTGAAATGTTTGTGGGGAATCAATCCTCAAGCAATTCCCTCCCCTTTCGTATTCCTACTTGGGTTACGATCTCTGCTTTGTTTTAGTCGAAACTGTGTTCTTCATTCACGATTTTCGAGACTGGTGAGGTTGCGTGACCTTTATCTGCATGTTCCTATGTGCTCCTGTATCCTGGTCGATAATTTCCTTCCCGTGGTTATCAAAATTTCTGCAATTTATTTTGTATACAACCTTTCACATTTCCTGCGCTTGTTTTCGCTTTGGTTTTGTTAGTGTTCTCAATGTGACGATTGGTTTGTGGACCACCATGATGCGGTGCTGTTTGATCAATATGGCTGTCATTTCAATTACATCCTCCGTATACGGCCGTAACCAATTAGAACAAGTACTTGCTGGCTCGAATAATCTGTATGAGGAATGGACAGGTGTTTGGTGACATCCATGCCGGATTTGTCTTCCATCAGCTTCTGCTATGGGACTGCTCACTCCCACACAGCGATGACGTCACCTCGACTGGTGACGAAATGATTGCAAGCTGATTGTCCAGCTCGGCGAACACCTCAGCAACTGGGCGTTGCCCTAATCTGTCACAGCTCACAAACGTGCCCAGCAGCACTAGTCAAATGAGAACTGGTTATCAGTCGTTTCGGGCTATGCTTTGCATTCTCGAAATGCAAACTCTTTCCTTAAGATTGGCAGGGACCCAATCTTGCGCTGTTCCTTAGCGATGATCAGCCATAAGTCATCCTGTAATTCAAATACCTGGGCAGCCATATCAGCACCTGCGGAATAGAGGAGATCACCAACCGTATAGCAAAAACTCGTGGCGCTTTTTCCCATCTCCGCCTCCGGTTGCGCCTACGCGACATCACTTTCATCCTGAAGAACGTTTGCAATGCCGTCGTGCGTTCAACTCTCTTGTACGGTTGCGAAGCCTGGCTCATTAGGTCGACAGACTTGAGGCTTTATATATCCGACCATCGCTGTCTTCGTATTTTGGCTCTTGTCTGTTGGTGCCTCCGCCTGAGCAATGACCGTGTTCGGCGTCGCGTATTTGATGCAGGAAGAGCGAGTGAACTTCTCAGCACCATTATATCACCTAGCAAAATCTGATGGTCGGGTCACATGTCGTGCATGCCAGCGCACCAACTCCCGCGTCCTGCATTATTTACGCAACCTGGGTGCGGATGGAAGAGGAGGAAGGCTAAGCGATGACTTGATCAAGAGAAATGAAGTTGGCTTCGGTCAGTGTCTCCGGACCACCGTACTGTGGTCCAGAAGGCGACAAACACGTTTGCTCAGATACACCATTTGACATGGCGAAGGGCCGAACTCAGTCGCATTTGTGTTGTGAATTTCTTTGTCCTCCATCCCCTTTATCTTCCCCTCCAACCACGATTTTGCACTTGAAGCCTTCTACATTAGTAAGCATTAGATTACCACTTTATATTTCTTGTATTGAAATACGTTTGGTATCTCGAATTTTTCAAAAATCTTGTCTTTTGTGTCGCGGTGCAATAGCTGATGTTTCTCACATTCGGTTGACATGTAATGATGATGGCCATGTCTGTGCACTATTCTACAGAAGTCTCAGGTTCACCACCTTATTGCGGTAATGAGCAATACAATTTCCTTTGATCTATTCTCATTGTTTCTGTATCTAGCTGAACTGCACTAGCAAACTGATCAGCTGGTCTTTTTGTCCACGCAACATTTCGTTCTTTCTTTCATTTTACTTCCTGCTGTCAACCGTACTCTGCTTGCGCAACTCGCGTTGCTATGACAATGGATGTTATGGAAGTTGTAGAAATGACAATCAAGACTAATAGGATGAAGGTGATGAAGAGAAGTCCAGGTTTTCGGAATTATGCCATAGTAGCTCTTATTTGTCGGCTGACCACATTAGTGATGGACCGGTGAGCAACCATATCCAGATCCCCTTCTAGAGAGATATGTTCACCACAGTTTCACTGTAATGATTTCTGTAAAAAAAAATTTGTGCGACGCACGTTAGAATGGGGGTGACTCGTTATACATTAAAACGAGTCCTTGTAGCCCACCGCCAAACCCGCTGCCTTGCTGTCAGGTTTTCGAATCAAAGGTTTTGGTTGAGAACCCTATTCATTCTCCTGTCTAGGCCTGGGCAACTTGACAGTATCCTGCTCACGCAATAATATGAAATCTTCATGAAACGATTTCTTCATGCTCTGGCCGTCGCCCTATCTGCTGCATCGGGCAGGGTGGATAGGGGATTAGGTGCTACTCCTCAAGCCTCCCCGTCTTCTTATTTCCCCTCGTACGCTTTTTCACCCTTTTCGTCCCGTCCCAACTTCACTTTTATTCTCCCCAGTTTTTAACCCCCATTTCTTGGCCTTCTCCCATCTTGCCTTGATAGGCGTTTATTTTCTAGTTTCAACTAACTTGCAAACGCGGAGCGTCACTCTTTCCCTATCAACAAGTCTATGTCCAACCAAATGGTCTGCCCCAGTTCCTCCGCCTCCATTTGGAGCTCTGGACACTCTTTCAGGTTGGCATGCCTCAATGTACGCACATTGTTATAGATTGGTCAACAGGCAGCACTTGCCGAAACATTAGAGATCCTCTCGATCGATATGTGCTGCTTATCGGAGACCCGCCTGCAAGACTCGAGTCCTGTGTTCACTGTGCCATCCCCTTCAGGCGATAGCAGAAGTACTTTCTTATAGCGCCTATCCGGTGACGATGCAGCTTCGAGCACCGGCCAACCGCGTGTTGGTATTGCTCTGAGTTCCCGGGCTGAAGGTGCTCTGGTTGACTGGATCCCAGTCAGTAGCCGAATATGTGCGGTCCGACATGCTGGTTCATACAAAGCTTCGAAGTCGCACGAAACTAATAAGTATCTACTTGTCATCGCTGCCTACGCATACACAAACTAGCGCCAACTACCGCCAACTGAACGACCTCCTTCGCCACAGAAGAAGCTCGGACACTGTAGTGCTTGCGGAAGATCTGAACGCTCAGGTTGGGAAATTGTCCACTGTTGAGCTGTATCTGGGCGTCAAGCATGGTTTTGGCTCCCGTAATGATTACCGTGATTGGTTACTTCATTTGTGTGAAGATGCTCGCTTATTTCTGGCGAGCACTAACTTCCGACACAGCTGGCGCCTGAGAGTGACATGGCGCCCACAAGCTTCGAACCAGCCTTGGACGCAAACCGATCACCTTGCGATCAGTTATCGCTGGTGTGGCT